TGAATATGTCATTAACCATTTGAGAGAAAGATCACGGAGGAAGAGTAGACATCCACATTTTGATTTTTATCATGACACGACTAAATTTGTAACTCATATTATAAATCCGCCCATGAGTGAGCAAAGACATTACGTCAAAACAGTTAGAAAGTTGTGAAGACACATGGAGTAGGAGACAGAAATCATATCAGGTAACTGTGGATTATTCCACTTAAAGCTACTTTTGGCTCAAAAGTTTAAACAATTGGGAGGCAGCACAAAAAATGAAACCACTTTTTGTGGCCTCGAAGAAGGAAATATGGAGGAGATAGAAATCAATTTACAAATGTTTCATTTGCAAACTTAAAGACAAGTTATTGATCCAAAAATGAAATTGACCATATGAGTCATAATCAACATTTATTAATTTCCAGCAACTGCACACTAGGGCTCTCTCACCTGTTGCTTATATGTTTGGATTTGTTGATCTTTGTCATCATTAATTTGTATGACTCTAGACGTGGGATGGTGATAGACCATCTAACAATGAAGTAAATATTGGTAATTTTTGTTCCTTCGAGGACATCTTATAAAATTGGTTTGGTAATTTTTGTGGACATCCGATAAAATTGGTAACTTGTAAAGAATATTTTTAAAGATAAAATTAGTACTCTTCCAAAAGTTGCTTCAAATCAACATAACATTTACACGATTGAAGAGATCGTATATTAAACTTAAGTCTCAATTTTGGACTAACATCTTGATGGTGAAATATGTGCCCTGTACATATATTATGCTTGAGTTGCTCGTCTAGTACATCCTAAAAGACGTCTTGTGCGCACTTACACCTTGAATTACTCGATATATGTATACAGCCATTAAGGGTGTCAATGGTTTGGTTCGGCCGGTTATTTTATGAATTTTGTACCGTATCAATTTTTCGATTATTCTATTATGTATAACTAAAATTAGACTTTTCGAAACCGTCCCAATCATGTCAGTTTCTCTTCGGTATCGGTACGGTTCGGTAATTTTTTTAAATGTCATTAAAGGTGACTAGTAGAAATAGTATGCAATAACATACGTACTTTTATATGACTTAACAAAACTCTTTAGATATTTTTACAGTTTAAAAAGTGATGAATCAAGAAAATATAAAAGATGGCTAAAGAATAGATCCATCAAATATTCTACAGCAGCGTAAACGAAGCTAAGCAAATAAAAAAAATATAAATCACACGAGTGGAAAGATGTTAACCAAGTTGGGATTCAAGAATAAAGTCTATAGAAGATTAAACATTTTAAAAAGATAAATCTAATTCATACGAAAGTAAATATATTCAATATATTGTAGGTTGCTACTCCTAATCGCCACGGGCGTATGCGGAATTTTTTTTAAGGGGTGTCGAATTTTATAGATGAATAATGAGAATAATAACTTCAATTATCATACTTCTAAACAAGAAATAGCCCTAATCTATTGATTTTGTTGAGTGTTAAGTTAGAAAATGTCATATGTTCGATTCTACTTGATCACAATTCTTAACAAAAAGATGCTCTCTCAAATGTTTGCGCTAAACAAAGTGAACTAGTGGAGGTTCAAACCTATAACCTCTTAGAGTAAAATCAAGCACGTAGCCAACACACCAAGAGACAATTTATGTCATTTGGTGTCATTTTTTCCTACTTATCCATTTCCTCACAGTATTAATACATATATTTAGTAAAAATTTCTGACGAAGCGGTGTCATGTGACACCACTTCCTTAGGTATGCATCCGCCCCTGCTAATCGCTACAATACCTTGTGTCTTGCTAGTGAATATATGCTGGAAATAATTTCGTTTCAATAGAAGTAGCATAATAAGTTTGGGAATTAGAATTTAGAGTTTAATTACTTATTGGCTTGTAACTATTTCATAATTCCAAGGCCCAAGAAAAAATTTAATGCTTTATTATTTTTAAACTTAACATATAAATATATTTTTGTAAATTTATTCGGTACGGTTCGGTATTTTTTCAGTTTATTTTTATAAAATAAAAAACCTACGTTAATTATCGGTATAGTTATAGATTTATATAAAAATCTACGATTTTATTAAAAGAAGCCTAAAAATCGGTTTGGTATGATACGATTCGGTCGATTTAGTCCGTTTTCAAATATTCATTGACACCCCTATCAGCCATGCCTAAGGGTTTATTGCCTATTTGGTAAAGCATATGTCCGCCTCCATTTTATATCAGTTAATACAAAAACAAATGTTGTTTCATTAGTATTTTGTGACATTAATAAGCACATATTCATTGTATATTTTTATTCTTTTTAAGAAAAAAATCGAGCAGACATATAGTAAATATCGAAAACATGATGTGTTTGCATTCAATATTAGAGATTGCATATTTCGTCATGATAAGAATTTACTCGCGCCGAATATTTGTACAACTAAATTCTTGTCAACTTACCCCGGTTAAATGTTTAGATGATGTAGAGGCTAGGGTTGGTTATGGAACATAGAGCTACTATTAGTGCACGGCGACTGCTTCCTAGGTCGTAATTTCAGATTATGGCCATCACTTTATGGCATGTGAAATTTCTTTACCTGTCTAAGAATTTAGGTTATCAAAGCAGTAATGCACATAACATATAAAATAATGGTTCTTTTTAGTTTCTTTGTTCCAGTAGATCTCATGGTTGTAAATAATCATGGACATCCAACAAACGCATCCCACTAGCAAGCAGCAACTTCACAGTTTATCAAAAAGATAACAGTGAGACTAGTTTTTCATTGACTCGGTAAAGTGAACTTCAATTCAATACTGTATATAATTGAAGTTTATTTTACAGCTATTTTATATTTTTATAGTGATAAATCCGGTAAGTTACTCATTTTTTTATTGGTATCAACTTTACATCCGGTGTGATGTATAATAGTAATTAATAAAAGAAACTTTTCATACTTATACAACTTCACAACATATTGTGTTGTAGTTGCAGCATAATTTGCAGGAACTTCATAATCCAGCATATTATGCTGGTAACTTTCCGTATTTTGGCTAGGAATTTTTGTCCAAATTTTATTTCCGCGTAAAATAGTGACTAGCTTTTTTTAATGACTTTGCAAATACTAGCTATTTTTCGATTACCTATTCAAAAACGGGCTAGCTCATGCTAGTGAATTTATTGTCGTTGTCCTTGCAGCTATCATAAAGGTCAAGTCTATAAACTAGTGACGGCAAATATTTATCTGCACCAGTGTATTTATACCAAATTAAATATTTTACTTTCAGTACTTACTTGATATAAACATCCGATGCAATAACTTTTTACCAATAATAATTGATTAAATGTTTACAGTTAAAGAGCTAAAGATCGGTTATATGGAAGTAGCATTTGATAATGGGAGTGATCGGATCACTATATTTAGCTCAAACTGTTTATATAGTCAAAAATAAAGATTCATAATAAGTTTGCACTTATCTGAGTAGTGAATGCAGTGATATTTAGTATTTAATTATTTAGAATTTTAAAAAAGTAAATTTGTTTTACAAAATAGATAATTCGGTGCACTAAACTCTTGTTATACATAAGATCCGGACCAAAGATAGCCAAAAGGTATAACTAAATGTTCAGATAAGATCAGGTCATCTCTTTAAATAGGGCATGAACCATATGGAGTTAGGGACTCGCTTCTGACATACACCTCTTTCCCAAAAAGAATTTCGTGTATTTAAGACAAAGTGCAATCATTTAACTAAACTATGATTTGCACAAATTATATTGCATTATACTGAAGTCTTTTGAGTCCATATTTTACAAAGCACTACGCTAGCTTGGTGAATAATGGCTCCCCTCTACTATTCTCCACTTAAATACCCGACTTCTGTGACCTGCGTCTAACCAACACATCACCAAACCCCTGGAAGCTTTAGGAGAGTGAATCCTTTAACTGAGATCTTTAATTTAAATGCCATAGCCAGGTTCCTACATTAGTATCATCATCAAGAGCTTGAAGGTCACTCATTTGTCAACAAAAAAAGCTCAAATGCACAGAAACTAATTCACTTCTCAACAATAAATTCTTTAATTTCTATTCCAGTATGCCGAGCACCTCCCTGTACTAGGAGGCAAACCTCATCACCAACTTTGAGTGAGGTCACAGGAATTGTTGTTCGTTGATATCCCTCGTCTGCAAAAATATATGGAATGTTAGACCTTTTTTTAATTAACCAAGAATCCCGAAAGTTAGTGAAGTACGGTCCAAAGCTCGGTGGATAATGGGCCTATCCCTCTATCCTTCTCCACTTAAATACTCGTTTGTGCATGCAAGATTCAAACCCGTAACTTGCACCTAACCCACATATCACATATAGTGCTCTTACCACCGGACCAAAGATGTGGGGTATATGGAATGTTAAACCTCAAAAGGAGCAAATAGAGAAAAAGCTGCTGCATCTCAAAGATTTACCTTGAAGCGGAGAGACTAATCCAACTGTTTCCGCATTCTGCAAGAGTATAGAGTAACTTTCATTTTCGGATTCTACCTGCATTATACAATTTCCCAATCAAATTAGACATTAGGGTCAAGTAGACAAATGTTCCCGGCTAAAAGATTAACCCAGTCAAAAAGATTAAATCTTATCCTACATTTTCATGTATGAGCAGGTTACAAGTTGCAGATGCTGAAACCATTTTTAAGAACAGTTCTATGACTTACACGAGTCAAGACAGAGCCAACTGATCATTTGCTGGTGCACTCATGCCTCACGCCCAATTCTTTTACTCTTGAAAACAAGAAGTTTCATCCAGAAGTTAAATACTTCAAGTACATCAAGTGTACACCTATGTTTGCAGATAGCAACTTTGCTTTTTTCCGGAAAAAAAAAAAAAAAAAGCAAAAGCTATGGTATCCTTGTCAAACTACTGCATCCAGCTAATTTGTTCTATTATCCTATTTGAGATTCCTTATGATTAATAGTTGTCTCATGCTTGTATCCATAGTTACACAATGTCAAAGTTACACGAGCACACATCTCAAAAGTTAAATTAAAAAGCAAAGAAGGTACAGAACATTTTATTTAGCATAAGGCGGAATGCATCACACACCTTTGCTTCCACAAGGATAAGTGGTCTAGTCTCAATCTTTACACGTCCAACAATAGCTGTTCGCTGCATACCCCTTTGATCAACCACAATGACCTCTTTGCCAGACTTGAGCTCCGAGAGATAGCTAGTCTTTCCTCCTGGAACAGCAACATATGCATGAACAGGCCCCTGCCAAAGTCCAAACAATTGTCATACATTCTAGTTTGAGATGCATTAACAAAATTCAACTCATTGACAAGAGTTAAGGTCGAGGATCTGGAACAAATAGCTTATAGAAGCCACTACCAGGAAAATGCAATTAAGGTAATACTAGAGTTCTTCTCTTGGAAGTTAGCATCAAGCCCAGTTTGTGAAGATAACTATTTCACAAACCACCAGAAATGATAATGAAACTTTGAAATAACCAATGACACTTTCACCATCAACTTATCTGTTCAATGTTAGTTCTAGTTTTTCCATTCCTGAACATTTAAATGGCTTAGTACGAGACACACCGCATTTACTCGAAAAGGCCGGCTAGAAATGTAATTTGACTCCAAGCATTCAGAGTGAACAAGGAAAAGGCCTCTTGCAAAGGATCCAACCTAAGGAAAAAACAATACAATGAAACTGAAATTCCATAAACTAAGATGCAAAAATGAATCCATATGTAAACAGTAAACAAACAGNTGAAAGTATTCCAACCTCTCTCCACAGCAGCAGTCATCACTTGCTTGTTCTCTGTCCATATCCATACTATTTTCTTCGACTTTGATGTTGTAATTGCACACATTTTATTAATACGTGATATTGTTCCTTTTTTACTGGAGAAATCAGCGTATCTGCAATTTTTCCATTTACCTACAAATAATTAATCAGAAAAAGAAAACAAAGAATCACCATTTGATACTTTGTATTGTTGACCTATTTAACATTGCACAGCGTGAGTTGAAGTACCTGGAACTTTAGGGTGAGAAACAGAAAGTAAAGGTAAGACTATAGCCATTTCTGTTGATCATCAAGGAAGCCGAAGCACCGTTCCTGTTTTTCTCTATGTAGTAGATTACATTTTTGTCCCCACACGAAAATGTGTGGTTTCGATTTTTAACTGATTTCTCTTTGAGGTGGTTTGATTGGTCGCAGTAGTTATAAAAATAATATTTAATCAGTATTCGTTGATTAAAAAAGTAATAACAAGTAATTTCAGATAATTCTATTTAATTAGTATTCATTGATAACTGATACTTAATAAGTAACCTACAACAAGTAGTAAAATTCATTCTGGGGCGGCTCAAACCTCAAAGCACTTTAGTGACTTGAAGCCAAAATTTATTTGGAGGCCTTAAATTTAAAAAATAAAAAAAATATTTTTTTCCCAAAATTTTTTATTGTTTTAACTGATTGAGATGCAAAATTTTTAATAATTTTCTAGTATTTATTTTTTCTAATAATTCTTTTTCGAATGATAATATAGTCAACTCATTTAATTTTTCTTGAGAATTGTTGATCTTAATTAGGCAAAATTTTATCAATTTTAATATTAGAAAATTTCTTTCTGTTGAGACAACTGTTACAGAAAGTGTAATATTATTGTATAAGAAATATAAGCATTTATAAATGAATCAAGTCTTTTTATTTGATTAAATATGTTTAATGGCGGAGCCACATTCAGCAAAGGTCATTTGCTGAAAAATTACACTGTATTGCTAGATAAGTTTTTTCTATTTTATATATATTTACTGCATGTTGGCTCCTTTACTTTTTGGTGTATCTAACTTTTTATATTTTGACACCCCTTGATGAAAATTCTGGCTCTGCCAATAAATATGCTGATTAGAGTATTATCTTCTATTTGTACTATTTTCTTTAACACTTTTAATTCGGAATAAATTTAAACCATCATAATCAGAGTGAATATTATATTTTAAGGAACATTCAAGGTTAAGATAGTGTTTTTTAAATTCCCTTTACCCAATAATCTCAAATTTTTACCATTAAAATTTTTGAACTATTAAACTTTTAAACTCTTGGAGGAAGAAAGTAGGAAAGAAATAAAAGAAAAGTATGTAATCTTACCAGATAAGCGAAAAAGAAAAATTATGACTTAAAAAAAATAAGAAAGAAAGTGTAAAAATTTATAACTATTCATACATCCCATAATAATAATTCTAATATCACAGATATAACAAAAATATTTTTCCATTTATATAAAGTTTTATTTTTCTACTAAAAGTACTTAATACTTTTTTTAAAGAAAACCTATAAATCTACTATTGCTAAAAAAAATGAGCCCCTCAAATTTGGGGGCCTAAAGCAAGTGTCTTACGTGTTTTACCATGAAGCCGGCACTGATTATTCATTACACTAATCCATGCATATAACTTAAACAATCTTCGTATTTAGTTGGCTGCGTAAGAAAATTAAATTTTTTTTTATAAGTCTCTTTTGATTGACGGTATTAAGTTTAATATCCACAATATTTATGTGATTTATGTATTATATTACATGAAATAAAATATGAAATAAGAATATGTGTATATATGAACATAAATATTTAAATAATTGAAGGATTATTTGGTTCACATGTTAGTTGGTGGAAGATTATAATGAATAAATTACTTATACGATGAATAATAATAAAAGAATTACTATATAATGAATAATAATAGCAATACATGGAATGTCATGCAAAGGTTACCTACTTTAAGGGCATTTTTGCCTATAAATACTTTTATCTCTGTATGGGCTGATACTCATATTATTTTTTCACATTTTATCCCGCATAAAATAATATATAAACATAATTTAATGTGAGTATTAATTAGTGTCGCCAATCAAGCTTTGCATGAATTATTTTCTTTTATTGCCCACCAAGCGCTATAAGTAACTGAACTTTGTCTTGTATAAATTCAACAATTTATTTATAACCACAAAAATATTTATCCTATTTACACAGTATAATTTATTAATATAGCAGATTTAGAGGATTCAATTAAACTTTCTTCACCTAGCTCTGCCCCTAAGAGCACCCAAGATGGAATGTCTAATATTTTTTTTACCTAGAGAAATTATTGGATTGTTGCGAGCAGAACAAATGGGGCACGCCTCTTCTGACCAGAACACTTATAGCAGCTCATGTGTCAATCACTTCTATTCCTCTCCGTCTGTATACGTCGTGCTGAGAGTCCAATTACACTTAAGCCGGATTTTAATTCACCAAATCAAAGTCCATCTCATATAGTCATTGTAAACTCGTACAAGAATAAATGATTGATGCATCAGACTCAACTCTATCTTCTTTTCCCCACCAAGAACGTCACAACTCACAACTGGTAGAGAATCGGTAGCAATGGGAGCTGGAATAGAAGAAAGTCAAGAACTTTCTTTTTCACAAAGACAAACTGACACCAGAGTCACATTATATTGCCACATTTATCGAATGAATATTCCAAAAATACATGTCTCTCTAGTAATTTAAACTTTCTTTTTTGCTTTCTAATCTGAATGAAAAACTTTTTAGATAGTAAAATGCACGATATGAAAAGAAATTGACGTAATTAATGGAAGAAAATGACATTACAATGGATAACACAACTAAAAGAACACTTGTAATATGTCATAAAACCATTATTCCCATATTTATGAATGCACAATGTACTCTTCAAGGTAATTATGTCATTAGTTTAGAAAAGTAAACTTTAAAATGTGTCTTCCCCTCCCTCTTAATGGCCGATCCAATGAGCAACATCACCCAAAACATTCATTCAATGACTGACACCCCTCTCATGCAAATTGACTACTCCACTCCAAGTCCCGAGAACCCATCCTTTCTCCAAAAATTAAAACAAAATACATATTTTACTCATCGATCTTATACTTAAATCCCTCTTACACATCTGGTAAACACGGAAATAGTATTACACACCAAAACTTTTAAAAATATGTCAATTACACACCTCTTTTGCCATGTATCACACGCGTGTATTACACAAAAAAAGGCGCGTGAAAACTACAAAATTCATCTGAAATTAAGTTTTTTATTTTATTTTCCCTTTTTAAACTATTTTCTTTACAAATTAAAGAAAAAAATATAACTCATGCCTTCTTCCTCAACCCCAACGATTCCCCC